AAAGACAATGTCTCTAACCTTATTTCTCTCTCTAAACTCAAAATCCTCAAAAAATGTTGCAATTCCTGTTTCAAAAATTGATTTAAGTGTGAGATCATAAAATTTGTAGCCCCTAGATTGCTCAGAATAACCAATAAAGTAGCTGCTTACTGTTTTGGAGTCCAATTTCTTTTCATGTGGCCTATAAGGCCTAGCCTCAGCTGGACATCCCCAAATGTGAAAATTCTTTAGACTAGGCTCCAGAATGATTTTGGTAAGGTGGAATGACTTATCATACTCCTTATCATGTCCTTAAGAGTTCTGTTTCGTCTTTCAGCTACACATTCATGCTAGGTGATCCTGGTATAGTGTATTGAGGGACGATTCCACATTCCTCTAGGTATTTGGCAAATGGTCCTGGGCATTATTCACCTGATCCATCATAACTGCCGTAGTACTCACCACCACGATTAGATCTAACGCTCTTTATCCTTTTGTTGAGTTGATTTTCAACCTTAGTTTTAAAAATCTTGAACATGTCCATTGACTTAGACGTTTCATGAATGAGATATAGGTACCCATAATATGAGTGATCGTCTATGAATGATATAAAATATTGTTGATCATTCCAGGAAGTCGTAAGGAACAGTCCACAAATATCTGTATGTATCAATTCTAAGACATCCGAAGTTCTGTTAGCACCTAGTCTCTTTGTTTTGGTCTGTTTTCCCTTGATACAATCAATACATACATCAAAATCCATAAAATCAAGGGAATCCAAAATATTATCCAACACAAGTTGTCCAACTATAGCTTTTGATATGTGACCTAAGCGCTTGTGCCATAATTTTGCTGAATTTTCTTTATTTAATTTGCGTTTAGTACCACGTGATTCTACATGCAAGGTTTCATTATATAATGCAATAATATTAAGCAAATATAGGTTATCATATGTAGATAACGAATCAGTACAAATAACATTTGAATTTAACAAAAGACTAAACTGATTGTTTCCAAATGAACAACAATATCCAAATTTGTCCAACGAAGAAATAGAAATTAAATTTCGTCTAAAAGACGGTACAACGAAAGTGTCTTTCAAATCCAAATAAAAACTAGTTTTTAATAATAACCTAAAAGTGCCTATTACATCAACTTCCACCGATTTTCCATCACCCACATAGATGTATCTTTCACCATCATTTGTCTTTCGGTAGTTTAGGCAGCCCTGCATATAAACACTTTTATGAATAGTAGCACCAACATCTATCCACTAAGTGTTTCTAGGTACTGAAGCTAAATTATCCTCAGAACAGACTAAAGTAAGAATTGTACCTTCTTTTGCACGCCAATCGGGATATTTGGCACAGTCCTTCTTCACATGTCCAGTTTTGTTGCAAAAGAAACAAGTTCCTTTGCCTTCCTTCTTTTTCTTTTGTGCTGGACCCTTATGAATAGCTTCATATTCCTTCCTCTTTTTCTTACCCTTATCCTTAGAAGTGCTTGCTAAGTGAGCACTTTCAGTCCTTTCTTGCTTCAACCTTTCTTCCTCTTGCACACAATATGAAATGAGCTCATTTAGAGACCATTTCTCCTTCTGACAGTTATAACTGACCTTAAATTGACTAAATTGTGCAGGAAGAGAGATCAATACCAAATGGATGAGCAAGTCATCAGACAGCTCGAGCTTTAGTCCCTTAAGTTTTGAAGCAATGTGAGACATCTCCATAATGTACTCCCTTATGTTCTCCTTGCCTCTATACTTCATTGAAATCAAGCTCTGCAAAAGAGTGCTTGTTTCAGCCTTATCGTTTTTCACAAAACGCCTTTCAATTTTGGCGAGGAACTCCTTGACATTAGATACCTCTTTGATATCTACACCTCTAAAGGCTTCCGAAATGCCGTGCTTAATGATCAAAGTTCCTCTTTTCATGAGGTGAACTTTCTTCCATAAGAGAAGTGGGTTGCTCGATCCGAAGAGCAAAGTCTAGATCCATGCAGCCAAGAACAATCAATATGTTCTCCTTCCAATCCTTGAAGTTTGTCCCATTAAGTATGAAAATAGAATTAATATTGGCAGATATAGTAGCAGATGAGCTAGCTGTAGAGAGAACAAAATAAAAAAAGATTTATTATGCTCGATTTAATATCCACATTTAATAATTGATAAATTCAAATAATGGTAAATCCCATCTCAAGATACCTAGTGCAACATCAATATCAAGTCTTTGGATAGTAATATTAATTGCAAGTGGTACTTTCAGTGTAGCAATCAAACATTGACAATAACTCATGTCAAACAATAAATCCATCTTTGGATTGATTTATTATTCACATGGAAACCTTATAATTGTCACACATTCATCACCACAAGTGTGTATGTAATTCGGCCAGATATTAACCTTCCTTTGAGCCAGCTAATTTCCACATGAAAAGACACACACACAACATCCAAGCATCCTAAACAAACCAATCTACACAAAAGAGGCCGCTTTGGTGACATATTGTTTCAATTAGTTTACTTAAAATGCTGGACAACCTTAATTTTTCATAAATTATTACCAAAATTTTGAATTAGATTGTCCAAAACAATTAAACATTAATTAATACCTCTTAAAGAAGTATTAGTACCGAAATTTGAGAAAGAGAAACCCTAATTTGCATCAATAGATGCCTATGGAAACTTTAGGGACCTAAGGATTAATAATTAAATACTTTATGAGTTAAAATTTGAAAAATTTAAAACTTTAGGGGCCAATTTTAATTAATTATGAACATTGAGGGCTTTAATTGCAAAATTCAGAAGTTAAATGGCCCAAATTAATTTTCAAACTTAGGGGCTGAATTATTAAACCCATAACTTAAAAGGCCCAATTGGATGAATTCTAAATTACAGGGACTGAATCCTTAAATTTTAACCTAAATAAAAATTGCAAGCTGGTCCCTGGAATAACCCAAATTGCATCCAGGCTCCCATCTCCAAAATAATCACCCAAATCGTTTTTTTTTCTCTTACTCATGCGCCGGCACAGCCTTGCACCGGAACAACAGTGTCGACCGCACTTCGGCGCCACTAGCAACAGAGTGCAGTTCGCAGCAGCGACAACAGTGCTGCGTGGTGTAGCAATCTGCACCACCAACAGCCAAACAAACCAGAAAAAAATATATACGGACAGCAACTCCAAAACGAATTATGCCTAGCAATTCCTCAAAACAAAATCCATCTTTCACAGCCCAAACTTCAAACCAAAATTAATTCCCAAACTCCAAATGTTCAACCCGCATGAAAATCTCTTCCACAGCAAATCGAAACTTAAATTCCATAATTTCATGAAGTTTTTGATCCATAGAAGATATACATAATCTTATATACACAAATGGAGTTTTCTTCTTGAGGAATTTCGATTATCATATATATAACAGAAGGAAGCCGTATGCCCAAAATTTTCAAATATTTACGTGAAAGATAATAACCAAAAATTTCAGAATTCTTAAAACCTGATATTCTCAAAGATTCAATAATGGAGAGGCTTTGATACTACTTGATAGATTTTTAATAATTCAGATTTGAAAGAAATCAACAAATCCTTTCACCAAAATTGTAATGTTCCACGTTGAATCAAAGAGAACAAGAAAGCGGAAGCGTACCTTGATTCATAGATTAACAGTGATTTTGAACGGGTTACAATCTTCCAATTGATCCGTGATTTCCCTTGGAATTCTTAAAAAAAACTCTCTGTTGATGGGGATGCAAAGGTTATGGAATATCACGTCAATTGGGAACCATTACCTCATGATAAATAACTGTAGGCAGTTATCATCTTTTGTTTGTTTTAAATCGACCCCTCATCAATTTAAAACAACCACCCCGCTTCTACACTTTAATCCCATAATAATTAATGCCCATTAGTCCAAAATTAAATTCGTTGGATCACTTTAATGGACTAAAACTATAAGATAGCAACGCACACTTTAATCATATACATGTGTGGCCCCAATTGATGAAATTTTTCCAACACTTATTACTTTTAAATCTAATGATTCTTTAATTTATATATTAAAATCTTCTATATCTTGATTTGTATGTTTTATTTCTGCTGCTCTAATTTTTATATTTTCATTTATGATTTTTAATTTAGTATCTATTTTATTTTTATCCCAATATTTTATAAGGTCTTCTCCTATTATTTGAATTCTTGCAGCTAGTTCTAAGATCTTATCTATACTCTATATTTAGAAGTTGTCTTGTTAAAAATTATTAATTCTTTATTTTTTGGTATAAAATATGTTTTAAGTAGGACCAGTTATATTTTAATCGACTGTTCCAAGCAACTCGTACTCGACAAATGTCACAAAATATCTTTTCCTGTCTTCTAATTTATTACGCTACTCAACTGTGATTGAGCAGATCCTACGAAAATGTGTTAACTACTTTTTCCGCGGCTTCAAGTAGGACTTACAAAATATATATTTAGTAAACCCGATCAAGGATGACATTCAATTCTCTAAACATGTCACAAAAAATATCTTTTTTTCACCTCCGAATTTATTAAACTACTCGACTATGATTGAGAAAGACCTACAAACATATTTTAACAAACACGATGAAGCTAGACCTCTCGTACTCAACAAATGTCACAGAAAATCTTTCTTGTTTTTAATTTATCATTGTACTCTACCGCAATTTAATATGAACTCTGAACCAACAATTGAAGATGTCGACCTACAAACATGAGTTATCTATTTATTTCCGTAACATCAAGTTGGACCTAGAAATACAATTTGTCTGTTTTCTCCTGCATACTCGATGTAAATCAATTATGTTCATCACTCGACTTGGATAAAGTAATCTAGTAAAAAATGAAAATAATATTTTTTTTTAAAAAAAAAATATATATATATATATATATATATATATATTTTTGGTCACATGTATATCGCCCGCTAGTCATTCACGGAAAAAACCCACCCTTTATTACCAAGTGAGAAAAAACATGTGTAGGAAAGAGACACGAGAAATTCGATACACAATGCTCTAAGCTGACGTATATTTATTCTGTTCACAGTATTTTTCGAAGCTCATAAATTTCTCAATCTCTCTCTCTCAAAACCACCAGGATCAAATCAGAAGAAGAAGAAGAAGAATTCAATGGATCCTTGCCCATTTGTTCGTTTAGTTATTGAGTCATTGGCCCTTAAACTTCCTTCCGCCACCAAATCGGTGGGCCTGGCTGGAGTCGTCCCGTCCACCACCCCATGCTATGCGAAGCTCAAAATCAAGAACTTCCCTTCACAAACAGCACTCCTCCCCCTCTGTAACTCAACCACCAACGACCCACCGGATTCCTCCACTTCCGCAGCGGGCTTCCACCTCGACCCCGACGCCCTCCGCCGCCTCTCAAGCAAGCGCATTACCCTCAAAATCTCCATTTTTGCGGGCAGCATTGGACGCACTTGTGGGATCACTTATGGTAAGCTGTTGGGCTCCGTTCTGGTTTTGATTGACATTGGTAAAGCTCAGTCGAGGTGCGCCGTGTACCATAATGGGTGGATGAAACTCGGCCAGAACGGGAGCAAGCAGGATAAGCCGGTGACGAAACTGCATTTGACGGTCCGGTCTGAACCGGATCCTCGATTCGTGTTCCAATTCGGAGGTGAACCGCAGTGCAGCCCGGTGGTTTTTCAGATTCAGGGGAATATAAGCCAGCCGGTTTTCAGTTGCAAGTTTAGCGCCGATCGGAACCACAGGTCACGGTGAGGCCCCCAGCTCACTTTAGTAATATTGCATAACATGTGCCAGGGTGGTAGGTTTCGTAGGCTATGGACCTACCACCTTTGTCTTCAAGCATTTTCTTGAGTATTTGTTATATTTTAATTATTTCAAACATTAAGATAATGTTTTTTCCAAAGAAAGTTTAATTTTTTTATTTTTCAGTAAAATGATTATGCTTAGTAGATTTTGGTCAAAGTCAACTTTTTTATTCCAAATATTAGGGGGTAGAGAGAGAGAGAGAGAGGAGAAATTGTCCAAAAAAAAAAAAAATTGTCAAATCAATTTTTATATACATATTCTGTAGTACTATCCATTTTCCATTGATTATTATTTACTTGTTTGAACCTCATCCTTTTGAAAAAATTTATTTTTTAACATTATTTTGATATCATTTCAACTAAACATTATTCAATAAAATAATATTACACGCAAATTCAAAATTTTTTCTTATTTTTTAACTACACATTTCTCATCAATACACTATTCAAAAATTCGTTCTTTCCAAAAAAATGAGGCTGAAACAAGGGCAAAATTGTTTATAAACAATTATCTAACATAAAAAAGAAGACAAAATATAGCAAACCATATCATTAATTTTTTCCGAATTTATATAAATTAAAATTTATATTATATATTTTTGTCCCTTCAACATTTTTCGCCGCTATCTCAAAATAATGTCTCTTTCAATGCAGGGAAGGATTTTTCTTAGAATTAGTTACTCAAAAGTATTTAATTAAATCAAATAGGGACAAGAAAGAAAATTTAAAGATTTTATTTGTTTGTTTTCCCTATTTTTGGTGACAAAATTGGCTCAAAAATTTTAAACTGATAATTACTACGTTAATTGCTATTTCGTGTTCCCATTTAGGGAATACTTTCTTGCTATTATAAATCTGATTATTTGGTCAAAGGAACAAAGACTAAGCTATACAATTAATGGCCATTAATGTGTAACACTTGTTTCCATATCATGTGCGAGCTTTTATGATAATAATATTCTCTATTTGACTTTTTGCTGCTTAAGATTACAGTATCTTGGTTTTTTAAGGTTGTTTCCATGTGATGTTTCTTATTTTATGGAAAATCAGGTCTCTCCCTCCAGATTTCAACATCAACAAAAGAAGATGGATGATGAGAACTTTTTCAGGCGATAGAGACAGATCAGGAAGGGAGCGAAAGGGTTGGATGATCATAATTTACGACCTATCCGGTTCCCCCGTTGCGGCAGCCTCTATGATCACACCATTTGTCCCGTCCCCGGGGTCTAATCGTGTTTCGCGATCGAATCCCGGTGCATGGCTCATTCTCCAGCCTAATGGCGACACTGTTAGTAGCTGGAAACCTTGGGGTCGTCTCGAGGCTTGGCGCGAAAGAGGACCGGTCGATGGGTTAGGTTACAAGTTTGAGCTTGTAACCGACAATGGCCTAACTAGTGGAATCCCGATTGCTGAAGGTACGATGAGCGTTAAAAAGGGCGGGAATTTTCGCATTAATAACATGATCAAGGGTGGTTTCGTGATGAGATCGAGTGTGGAAGGTGAAGGAAAAGTGAGCAAGCCTACGGTACAAGTTGGAGTGAGGCATGTGACTTGCATGGCCGATGCTGCACTATTCGTCGTGCTTTCAGCTGCCATTGATCTCAGCATGGATGCTTGTCGTCTATTTTCGCACAAACTGAGGAAGGAATTTTGCCATGATGAACAAGAATCGTTCTTCTAGGACTTAAGTCGAAAAACGTTTCAAACTTTTAATTTCTTCATTTGCAGTGACAACCGTCGAATTCTAGGACTTCGGTTTGAGCTTGAAAGCTACCCTTTTTCCCCTTGTTACCCCTCAGATTTCATCTAAACCTAAGCTGCAAAATTTCTGGTGTAACCAAGATTTTGCTCAAGAGAGCTGATACTGATTCATTATGCAACTTTTACTTTCTAAACATCACAATTTTTGAGCCCTTTTATTTTGATTCTTGGTGGATGATAAATTGATTTATTCTTTCGTTTTTTATGACTAAACTTTTACATACAGTTTGACAATGTAAAGCGATAAGATGAATTTAATTTGTTTGCGATTTAAGGTACAGTCCACTTCTGCCTAAGCATGTCTACAGTTGTAGACATTTTAGGATCAATCTGGTTAGAGTTATCAATACACTTGTAACATACACGATCAAAGCTATACGCAATGTTAGATTGCCTGCTTATCAATAACGTCGACAAGATGGCTTCAACTAAAAGGTCATTATAGCAACGATGATTATCTTGATGGGCTAACTAATTTGCCATTAGAAGTAAAAAGTGAACACTCTAGTGTGACATTTTAAATCGATGTCAAATATGATGTTTCATTTCTTTCCACCTTAAAACTTCATATCCACTATGAAAAGTTAGATATTTGCAATATTTTGCCTTTGATAAAAATTTTCAAATTTACCCACTTCAATGGATTAAAAATATTATCCATTTGTTCATTAGTCATTTTTATCTACTTATAAATTAATATTTATAAATTCTTCCTAAATAGACCTTAAACTCAACTCTTTTCCAACTTCAAAAACTCAAGCATGATAGGATCTTCCGCCAATGGCATTCCCTCTCTTTCAATAGCCTAATAAAACTACCAATTTTTAGCTTGGGATAAATTTTGAAAAGTTGAGTCTTAGGTGCACTCAATTACAAAAATTGTTAAAACAGGTGATTGAATTGCAATAAAATTGGTCAAAACCCGTCAAACCTCATGACATAATAAATTTTTCATTTCAGAAAACTAGCAACCCAAATATGTTAAATCCCTGTTTGTTTTCAATTTTTTTGTCCAATTTTAATCCATTTTCGAATCGTTGCTACACTGTCAATCATGATTATTGACTTCTTCTGTCACAATGAGTCTCACGTGCTGGCAAAAAAGGGTTGAAAAATCCACTATTTTCTTCAAAAAGTTGGTAACAAACAGTGGCTAAATCAACCATTTATGGTCTAGATTAAGAGACAAAAATGGAAAATGGAAGGTACACGACATGATACGACTAAGAAATGTTATTTTTGAAAAAAAAAAAAATGTAGGACATCAAATGCCAAAGACAGTTATATAAATAGTATTATTTTTCTTCTATAAATTGAATATTTAACTTCAAAAACTCTTCAATATACATTAACTAATAAAAATACCGTATTCGTATTAATCTAAAACATACTATCATTGTCATCTTAAATGAATTCTTAAACAAAATCTGGTGAAAAGCAACACGTTTAAAATTTCAAAAAAAAAAATTATTTATAAACTAATTAATTAAATATATTTTATTAATTAAATATATTAAGGTCACAATTTTATACAATTTCGTCACAAATTATTTCTTGATCTTAATAAAAAAAATTATAGATCACAAATTAAAACATTTATAGGTCACAATTTATTCATCAATCACAAATTTATCAAATTAATAGGTTACATATATCCATTAGTCACAAATCACAAATTTTATAAATCACAACTTATTTTATGGTCATAAAATATATAATTAATTAGTTACAAATTAATTTTCTATCTCAACTTATCAAATCACAAATCAAGAATTTTATAGGTCACAGATTATTTCTCGATCACAAATAAATTTTTTTATAAGACACAAATTATTCATCGATCACAAAATCAAAACTTTTATTGGTCACAATTTATCGATCACACGTTATTTTAGTCACAAAATATCCAAGTTATTGGTCAAAACATCGTAAGATCCACCAACACTAGATTCACTTATGATCTAACAAAAATAACTGCTATTGCCAGATCCACTACCAGCGCCACCACCACCCACAAAAACCACTACCACCACCACCATTCCCACAACCAACAATCACCAACACCATTGCATCGCCACCACCACTGTTCAAAAAATCCCAAAAGCCAACAACCGCCAACATCACCGCACTGCCACCACCACTGTGCCAAAAACACCACACAGAAATCTCCAGCTACATCTCCTACACCCATCGTCGAAAAGCCATAAAATGTCTTGCAACTTCATTATCCTCCACCAATACCTCTACTCAAACCACAAAACATTCACCATCCACCCCAACAATTCTCACGTCATGTTCTTCCTCTGTAAATTTCATAGATTAGTTCATTTAAAAAAAGCTATGATGACAATGGTCGGAGTTTATGGTGATAGCCGGCCAAATCTGCAACAAATAGAAAGAAGTCTCGTCTCAACTGTACGCAGCCTCACGCGACGTTGTATCATCACGCATTTTTTGTTTCAACAACTTTTCATCTCTTCTCCAACGTCTTTGCAGGTGGCAAATGCGAGGTGGAGAGAATGAGAGGTAAGACTAGAAAGAGAGAATAGATTGAAAGGATGAAGAGAGGGAGAAAATGGTGGAAAAGGTTTTAGGATTTGGGAAGAAAAGAGGTGGGTATGGAGAGATATAAAGAGAGAGAAAAGAGAAGGGAAATTAAATAGGATTCGGGATAAAATTGTATATTTAATATTTAATATTTAAACATGAAATATCTTATTTATAAATAATGAAACCTCCTCCCTATTTTTAGAATAATTGATTTTTAAAAATAGGATGTGATGTAATTTTCACTTTCAAAAATCAAGTGCACCCACCCCATTCCCAACCCACACGCCCACGCCCACGTCCACGTCCATGCCCACATAATAGAGATTTGCTCTCTCTCTCTCACATTCAATTCTTCCCAAAATCACCTCTGTCTCTTAGATCCACATCGTCATTGCTCATAGGCTGCTGGATGCCCACTGTCGCTTAGCTCTCTCTTTTATTTCGATTCTTCCTAAAGACACCCCTGTTTCCCATATAAAAAATAGCTGCATAAAAATTTCATAAATTTGATTAAAAATATATCGTTAGAACTAGCGGTGAATACGACAAAGAATGAAAAAATAGTCTTTTTTTGCACCTGAAATTTAAGAGACTTCACCTGTCCAATTATATAAGGAACCAAACAAAAAGGGTTAAAGAAAAAAAAAACTATATATGGAACCATTAAAGAAAGAAAAAAGAACATATTTTTACCCAAAAAAAAAAAAAAAGCAATATTGTTACATAGAACAGAACCGAAAATATCAATTCCTTCAACAAAGATAAGAAGTGCAATAGAAAATAAAACATCTTTAAAATTCAAAATTTGAATAATCCTAGAACAGGAACTAAAAACCACAATCAAACAAGGCAGAGACCCACAATAAAAATCTGTCCATCCAACCATTAAGGTTTTTAGGCATTAATGTTGCCCCCGACACAAGAATATTGTCACACCTCCCGGGATAAAACTCGACAGCGAAAGGAGCGGAGCAAGAATAACACTTAAATTGAAACCTCCATATGGGTACTTTAAGCAATGATTCCCAGCCAACTTCTTCTTTCACCGTATCAAATCTGTCGCCTTTTTTCATGCAAACCCCACAATGCTCACAGTAAACCGTCAATGCCAACATCTTTTTCACCTTAAGTTTCTTGGTTTTCTCCTCGAAAATGTTTGGAACATCTGATTGTGATGGACAATTCTTGTCGGTTCCCATAGAAAAATCTACTTGACCGAGATGGTTTTCTGCCTCTCGAGGCTAGGAATTTTGTGCGTGTAGAGATTTTGCATGCAGAGCCCATAATGTCTCCCATTCCTATATGGGTTTGAATTTGGATTTAATATGGAAACTGATGAAAATTGGAAAAGATTATTTATGGAAACTGGTTAATTAATTAATTATCTTTCTTGACTAATTAATTTCTCAGGGTACGTTTTGAATCGTATATTTTTATTACACTATAAATAGGTACATATCTGATAAAAATATTAATATATTTTGTTGATGAAACGTAATAATATATTTTATGATAATATTAAAATAGTTATAATTTATTGTCATCATCTTATCATCGTTATTATTGTCAATCCCATCTTGAAAAGATGGACGTAGCAAGTGATTTGCAATCCTACCAGAAATAATTAATACATTTCTCACAGAGGCATACGATCAATTGATTCAAAACTTAAACGAAAAAGTAATTATATAGAAGAATAGATACTCATATATATATGTTTGGCTATGCTTCAATGTTATTTTTAAGTACTTTCATATATTTAGCAACGCTCTTTGTCTAGATTTCAAATACCTAAGCTTATAATTAATGAAAAAAAATTAACTGTTCACAATGTTATAAGCTAAAGAGAAAATAATAGAAAAGTCAATAAATTTGTGTGTATTATATTGAGAACTAAAGTCTCATATTTAAAGGGAAAAAAATTAGAGATACAATGATAATAAAACTTAGGACTACAACAGTAGAATTGTCATTCACTAGTAATCATATTATTTACAGTCGTTCCCTTTGAATGATACAATATAAAATATTTGCCCCGTTAAAAACTTGACAAGAAAATTTAGTGGGCCAAATCTTGATCGAAGGAAAAAGAGTATAGATGCCCCCTAATTTCAATTCTTGTCTTGTACGCCAATGTCTTCAATATTTTAATTTTTGGTAAATTATATCTCGTGTTGTCTTGTACAGTTTTCAAATAACACCGTCTTCATACAAGATATTTATAAACCTTCGATGACTTTAGTAACATGATAATTCGAATAATAGCTCTTTCTTGATCTTCGAGAGTCTCATACATATCAAAGCACTGTCTTGATGGTAAATGTCTTTTAGGTTATGAACATTCATTACACAAAAAATATGCATCATTAAAGCCTTATAAGGAAAAACTCTATGAAAAAATTTTTAATGAATGAAAAAGAATACATTATTCTTTTAAGTATGATACAAAAGTTGCCTCATTAAAAATATTGTCAGGAAAATCAAATGGAACAAATTCTTGGTCAACAAAAAAAGAATAAGCGTATCACTTCAATTATATGGCTCAAGCATAAAATTTTTCAAGGATAGTATTAAAATCATAAAAGATAAGTT